TCGAGTTGACAGCCCCTCGGCTAATACGATACATCTTCCCTTTTCAATAATATTCAAAATCACTTAATTTATTGGTCTTCACGGTGCGACCGGAACGAGTTACTGTGTCACCATCACTTGATGTCTTCACGAGTGAACATCTGTTCCAGTTGACGCTATAGTCTCAGCTCCTTCTTCATTTTGTACGTCATCCGAAATCCTATCAGCTAATGATGCACTTTCGTCTCCTTAATAATCTTCATGAAACTTCCGCAGATGACGGGCATTCCTTCTCAGCGTTCTCTCACCATCCGTCACTAGGTACGAACGATCTTTATCGATCTTCTTAACTACTGTTCCTGGTGTCCATTTACGGGACACTTGGTTCTGCACAAGTATTCTGTCCTGTTCGGCAAACTTCGGTGGTTCTTTGGCTCCTCTATCCGCATAGCTCTTCTGAATCTCAAGTTCTCGTTCCAGCAGTTGTTGTACATTCACTGATACTCTAGGCCGTAGTGCATCCAGCGTCATCGGCATGTTTGATCGCACCAAACGACCCATGAGTCTTTCGTTGGGTGATGGTATGGAGCAGCTTCTCGGTGTATTCCGCATGTGGAGTAAAGCTAGATGTATGTCTGACTGATCATCGCTACACTTCTTCAACATTCATTCATTTGCTCGAGGAAAATGGGGACTCGATGTTTGATGCTCGAAACCCCACTGGGTACAGAATTGACGAAACTCGGCACAAGCGTATTGAGGTCCATTATCGGTCTCCAAAATTTGAGGAATTCCATGAATGGAGAACCATTCCTTCAACTGCTTAATAACGTGTTGAGACGTTGTTTGAAGTAGCTGCTTAATGTCGAAAAATCCGGAATAACTATCGACCAGAAGAAGGTACTGCTTTACTTTGAAGTGAAAAAGATCAGATGCAACTCTTTCAAACGGAAGTCCTGGGATGTCCTTCAGAAGACTAGTACTTTTCGTGTTGTTCCGTTGATGACGCTGACAAATCGAACACGTTTCCATCATTTCCTGAATGTCACTCGCCATACCGACCCAAAACAGCACCTGTCTTGCTCGTCGAATGCAGCTTTGAATTCCTGAGTGTCCACTGTGCACCTTAACCAGCATAGCCTTCCTCAATGACTGTGGGATTAGTACTTGATTTGACTTGAATATCAGTCCACCGTAGACCGCCATTTCGTCCCGAAAACAACAATATTTCCACAATTCCGGCCATAGCTCATTGCTCATTTCCGGCCAACCTTGCATAATTACTGATTTTAATGACCGCATCTCGAAATCCGCTTCGGTGTGCTGCTTCAGCTCTGCGCTTGCGACCTTGGACATCTGCAATACAACATGCACTTCTAATTTCTCCTCATCGTTTTCGGGTGAAACTTTGTCTACATCCGACTTAAAATATCTGGTATAGAATGTTCGTACCCTTGACGTACACAACTGTGGGGTTATACTGTGCTACTTCTAATCTTATTCTGCGTAGCCGGGGGGGGGGGGGGGGTGCTCGATCAAGCGGTTTTCTAAAAATCGATTCTAACGGTTTATGATCCGTTTCGATAGTCAACTTTTTTCCGTATATGTATTGATGGAATTTCAGGCAAGCAAACCGAATGGCAGTAGCTTCCTTTTCAATTTGGGGGTAATTCATTTCTGAACGTGTCAGAGCCTTAGATGCGTACGCTACTAGGCGACCATGTTGTAATAAAACGGCGCCAAGAGCATGTGAACTTGCATCCACTGAAAGCGTAACAGGAGCATTCACATCGTAATACGTGAGTACCGGAGGCGATTGCATCAGATGCTTAATTTTCTGAAACGACTTTTCTTGCTCATGGTTCCATTGCCATTCAGCATCTTTAGACAAAAGCCTCCGCAACGGAACTGTAACTTCTGAAAAATTAGGAACGAGTTTCCTCATGTACGTTATCATTCCTAATGCCCTTTGAAGTTGAGGCTTGTTCGATGGTGTTTTGAGTTTGATGATAGCTTCCAATTTTTTAGGATCAGCTTTCAGGTGAAGCACTGGCTAGAGCGCTGCACTGGGTAATTGCCAAGATTAGGAGGAGGAGATATTACCGGAGGAGTGGATGGAAGGTGTCGTATGCCCAATTTACAAAAAGGGCGACAAGTTGGATTGCTGCAACTACCTCTGAGCGCCGCCTACAAGGTACTCTCCCAAATGCTATGCCGCCGCCTGTCACCATTTGCAAGAGAGTTCGTGGGCCAATACCAGGCGGGATTCATGGGTACCCGCGCTACCACGGACCAAATTTTCGCGATTCGGCAGGTTCTGCAGAAATGCCACGAATACAACGTGCCCACACATCATTTGTTCATCGATTTCAAATCCACATACGACACAATCGATCGAGATCAGCTATGGCAGATTATGCACGAGTACGGATTTCCGGAAAAACTGACGCGATTGGTCAAGGCGACGATGGATCGAGTGATGTGCGTTGTTCGAGTATCGGGGACACTCTCGAGTCCCTTTGAATCTCTAAGGGGGTTACAGCAAGGTGATGGACTTTCGTGTCTGCTATTCAACATCGCGTTGGAAGGTGTGATCAGAAGAGCTGGGATAGACACGAGTGGCACGATATTCAGGAAGTCCATCCAGCTCCTTGGCTTCGCCGATGACATTGACATTATGGCACGGAACTTTGAGATGATGGCGGAAACGTTCATCAGACTGAAGGACTTGCCAACAACGCATCGAAGACAAAATACATGAAAGGAAGTTGTTCTAGGGAAGACAATGTGAGCCTCCCACCCCGAGTTCAGATTTACGGTGACGAAATCGACGTGGTCGATGAGTTCGTGTATTTGGGCTCACTGGTGACCGCCGAAAATGATACCAGCAGAGAAATTCAAAGACGCATTATGGCAGGGAATTGTGCCTACTTTGGACTCCGGAGGACGCTCTGGTCGAATAAAATTCGCCGCCGCACGAAGTTGACTGTCTACAAGACGCTGATTAGACCGGTGGTCCTCTACTGCCACGAGACCTGGACTATGCTCGTGGAGGACCAACGCGCCCTTGGTGTTTTCGAACGAAAGGTGTTGCGTACCATCTACGGTGGAGTGCAGATGGATGACGGAACGTGGAGGAGGCGAATGAACCACGAATTGCACCAGCTGCTGGGAGAACCATCCATCGTCCACTTTGCAAAAATTGGGCGACTACGGTGGCCTGGGCACGTCGTAAGAGTGCCGCACGACGACCCAGTGAGTTCTCGAAAGTGACCCAACAGGAACAAGAAGAAGAGGCGCGCAGCGGGCAAGGTGGATCGACCAAGTAGAAGGTGACCTGCGGATCCTTCGCATACTACGAGGCTGGCGAACTGTGGCCATCGATCGAGTAGAGTGGAGACGACTTCTTCGGACAGCAGAGGACAACAAGGCCTTAGCTTGATTGGTAAGTTGGTAATCGATTAGCTTGGGACCGAAGAGAGTACCAGAGCTGAGCCAAAAAGTTGAGCACGTTTCTTCGGGACCTTTTGGTCTTAGAGTTACCTCTATGGTAATAGTCCATACCAGCTTCAAACTACAGAAAAACAGACGTAACTCTTCATAAACATTTTCTTTCAAAAATATTGTAAATGAACTCACTAACGACATCTTGTGAGGCGAAAAAAAGCTTGCTTGTCAAGTCTCAAACAATATGGAGTGCAACTTTGATAGAATGAATAGAAACGTCAACGGGATTCACGAGCTAAAAATCTCGCTAATAATATTTAAATTCAACGTTAAATTCGGTAGACGCCGATAGAGTAGAAAGAGTAACGTCTGTTTGTCTGTGTTCAAATCATTTGCGTGACCTCTAAACCTTCTTCGATCATTACCATTTTATGCTCAAACTCATATTTGGAGTTATGAATCTTAATGACTGCAAACGCTTTTTTACAAAATGAAGCTAATTATAATTTCGATCACCACATGTGTTATTCAAACTCAAGTGCCACTTAGTTGAACTCAGATCCAGTTGGGACGTAATAGCCAATGAAAAAGAAGAAGAAGTGCTTTTGTGACACTCTGTAAACCTTCCACAAACACCGGCCACGAAGCACCTCCCGAAAGGTCAAAACAAATTCAATCGTTCTACACTAAATCAACTCGTAATTCATATCACTTAGCGCATCGGGCGGCGGACAGCATTTGCATTTTAAACAGAGTTGAGCCGTGTTCGATTGAAACCATTAGTACGGTAGTTGCGACTCGTAGTTAATTCACCAGCGAGGGCTAATCGACTCAACCGGCTGATTCCTTTGACTTCTGGTCGTTAAACAATATCGGAGAGCTGATAAATGTGGATGCGCCCAGTAAACTCCAAAGACACCTACCAAGGTAGATACTAACCACTACCGGCAACGTGATGCAGACGCATGGTCGTCATAGCACACAAAAAAAAAAAACGTCGGACGAAATGCGATCAGAACACAATGTAATCTAGCATAAACTGGATAGCGGCTGAATGGGAGTGTGTAGGTATGTTTGGTTTCTACTGGGAGATTTTTTTTATGTTGCTTTCGCTTTGTGATGTTTTTTTATGTGTGAGAACTACAATACAGCTATGCAACCGGTGTTGGAAATGATACTAGATTCTAACATACATATAACATCGCTATGTAATCGGTCGAATGTTTGGAAATGTTTGAGAGCTATTTTCGATGGAATGTCATGTTTATTAATGATGATGTTTCATTTTGAACACGACTGTCATTTCTACCTAGTGGCACACGTGTCTCTCTATAGTGTTGGATTAAACTAAACCCAAGCAATTCACAATGGTCTCATTATATGAGTTGTTCTAGAGCTCTTCGCACATTGACGCTCTCCCTCTTCTATAGCACTATAGTCACCAAGCACCGTCTGTATTGATTCGAACACGACAAATGTGAGCTGTGGTTTGGTGTGCGACAAAAAACTGCGCATTGGACTCAGATAGAGATAGGCAGCCAGGCCGGAAGAGGAGAGAGTTGCGCTTCAGTCTTGGAGTAGAATTGGTCCGGAACGGTTCGGTCCAACGGCAGTGGAAATCGGGTGGCAGCTTTGGACGAGAGAACATTGTGAGTTGTGGACGACAAAGTGCAACATCATCGGTACAGAGTTTTGATCGACGATTGTGGGTGCGCTAAAGTGATAATTATCAACTGAGTGCTGTTCGAAGCCATCCGAGATAGTGTGGCCATCTGTTCGGTGTTGATAGCGAGAATTGTGGGTGAGAGATGTGATAAAGCCAAGTTGCAGTACAGAGAAGCAACGAATTCGACAATGTGAGTGCATCGATCGGTCATTTCCCTGATACATGACCTATGTTAAGTTTAATTATATAGTCCCCTTGCGTTTCCTATGACCGTCATCGTCAGCCAGCCGAACCGGCATCGCGTAGCGAAGAATGATTGTATGTGAGAAGAATGTATATCAACCAACGATCTTTGAACAATTATTCTTGCTGGTTTGGTTCCTTTCTTTATTAAGTGGGTCGAAATATTACTCATATGGGCGTAGCGGACGTCACATCTCATTGTATCCATTGAGGAGAGTAGCATAAATATATTACAAGGGTGCCTACATACTCCACACCATCATCTCATGTATGAAAGATCGCAGGGCACGTTTCGCTTATTGTCGGTGGACTTATCCCAATCAAGGATAAATATTCATCCAGTAGGAAAACTGATGGATTCTACGTCGTCGTTGTCGTTAGTCGAGCACTGAGCTGTGATCTTTGAAGCCCAACACGCGCGCACTCTGTGCACATATGCTGGTGGTGGATGTGAAATGGAATAGATTCTGCCGTTCTACTGGTTCAATCAAGTTGATTTACATGGAGTGTGGAAGCATTTGAAGGTCGCTGACTTGTGCCAGCTAGCGTTCTAGAACGGTTCAGACTGAAAAGTGCTAAAGTTGGGTGTGTTACAGTAAAATATCGCGAGAACTTAGTAAGATTCAGATGTTTGCTCAAAACAGTGGATATTTTGATTGAAGCATAGTTCAATCTTAGACATTGCATGTTTTTGAGATTACCGGGAAGTGTTTTGATTGGAATTGTTTGCAAATATGGGTGCATCATTTATTTAGGATTTTTTAAGCCATATCTTGCTGAAATTCATATTATGATATGTGGATATTCTTTTGATATAGGGAAGATTTTTAAATGAATTAAAAAGTAACAACACGCATAGCTTTCGATTTACTATTTTTAAAATTGTAAAATGAGCGGAAAACATTGAAATTGAAAAAAATTAACAAGAATGTATCAGTACCTAAGAAAATAGTGCCACACCGGAATTCGGCAGCCGAAGTGTTAGACCGCATATTGAGTTTGAGCTAGCATCAAATCAATTAGCCGAATATCAATTGAAATTTTTATGTAAATACCCAATATCTGGTCAAATAGTACTATTTGGTGCATCTCTAGAAGAAAGCTTTGCAAGCTTTGGATCTATAGTAACGAAATGTACTGCATAATCTCAGTTCAAAATTTATTGCTCTGCTCAGTAAATAGCGTTCAGGATTCAATCTTAATGATGAAAGATTAGTTTTAGGTAAATTTCTCATTTCCAACCAGGGAATTGATAAATGAAGTAGCACTGATCATAATTTATCCGGTGTTGTTACAAGCAAGCAAGGATATCATAGTTCCTCTTCTGACAGAGATATTTAGAGCCAGTATGATACTGAAGTACATTCCTAAAAATAAGCGAAAGGTCCGGGCCATATTCATTCGCAAGTCTGAAAACGTGACAGGACTAGTCCCGAAGCATAGAGACCAATTAGTCTAGATTCTGTTATTTTGAAAATGGTCGAAAACATAATTGATCTTCATATTAAGATTTAACTTGAAGACCATTGAATAAGTGCCGGTTCGCCTATCAAACTGGAATATCCACAGAAACAGCACTTCACACGTTGTTTTCAAAACTAGAGAAATCTTTTGAATCTAAAGAAATCTCACCTGCAGCTTTTGTTGATATTGAGGGAGCACTTGAAAATGTATCCCACAGTTCCATGAGTGAAGCAATGAAAAAACATAGATTTGACATGTGCATCTCCAACTGGATACATGCTCTGCTACCAACCGTATTATAACAGCCAAATTAGGAAGATCTTCCTAATCGGCGAAACCAGTAGTCGATGATCTTCTAAATAAGTTGACTACACAAGGCTATGAATTCATTGGATTCACAGATGACATAATTATTTTAGTAAGGGGAAAATGCGATAGCACTATATTTATTGGAATGTAATCAGCCCTAAACTAAACACTCAATAGGTGTAAATAAAATTTTTATAATAGGTGTAAGTAACATTTTAAGCAACTATAAAACAACATTCATAAAACTCTGGTCAAGGCTGTTTTGTCATTAATGCATCCACCAATACCTCATTAAGACTAGAATATGTCTAGCTGGCCCACTCTGGAGAAGGTTCTGAAGGGTGCATTCTCAAAGCTCTTCAAGATTGATTTACTGCAAAAGGTTGTATGACGAACGCATTGAGAACCATTTGAAAGCTACAACAAAAGCTATTCAGCAACAATAAAAACCCTTTCCGAGCCATTTCCCCTAGCTACTTGCTAAATCCACTATGAAAGCATCAATCAAGATAGAAAAGGATTTATGAATCCAAGCTTATTAAAATAATTAAAGTAGAAACTGATGATATAAAAATCTTGTTGATTATCCAAATTTATTTCAATAGTTCTCATTAAGTGGCCTAGTTTTAAGTGCCTTGTTATATTTTATATAAACTGTACGTGAAAACATCGAAAAAAAAAATAAGTGCGCCCTCGTAAAACGTCGATTTGACTTATTATTTTGCATTCAAAAAAATTAATTATTTTTTAGATCGAGCTGGACCGAGATTGTTTTAATGATTTTCGCATTGAAATGTTTGCTCATTGCTAAATTTACCAAAATACAGTTATATTCAAGAAACTATAGGTTGAAAACCGAAGATCATAAAAAACTAGCAAACTAATTGTAACATGGCGGAGGTATAAAAGTTGATTTTCATGGGTCATTTGTGAAAAAGTTGTTTTGCTTTCAATAAATCCCTAACAAATTCAAAAATTTAAAAAAGGCTTGTATGAAGAAAATGTGCAGACTGAATTGTATTTATCTAAAGCCATTTTGCTTGATCCTAACTCGTTCATATTTATGGCAGCATTTATGGAGGCAAAGTTGCCTGCAAAAAGTTAAACGTCAAAGTTTGTTTATCTTTCGATATTTAGTTGCGCTGCGGGATCCAGGGTTCTTCCAGACGGTTTTCTCCCCATGGAGCCGTTGGTCCCCGGTTCATGAGTTGATGGGTCGATAGGTAGGGTCCAGGTGTGGGAGCTGCCTTCCTGGCACGTCGGTAGCATTGGTGCTCAGCACGGAAAACAAGATCGACGGAAAAAACAAACCAAAGGAAAAAAAAAGTAGTAGGGTCTGTGCCTAGGGAACACGAACGGAAGCTTGACGTAGAACCGCTTGTGGACGGAATAAATGTGAAGAGCATTTAGTTCTTTTATTTGATGAATTATCTCTAATCTCAACTCTTTCCGTTTTTGAATTGTAGGCGTACCAAATTTGTAGTAATTTTTTTCAAAGAGAAAGTTTATTAAGAGAATCAATCAAAATCACTTGCACACCTGCTTCCAAGTTTGGTTACAAGATTACAACTCTGGAGAGATTTTTGTGTTTCCTACTCTTGTGGTTCTTTATCTGAAGCACAGATAAATTCTATTCCAACTCTTTACTGATGTAAGCTTGCTTGCCCTGAAAAGGGCCATTTTATTGAAGAGCACTTACATGGCCACTAATGCTTGGCGTGTTTAGTGTAGGTGACAGCATCACGGTCCTCATTTTCCAGGAACACCTCGTAGATCAGACCCGAGATACGTTTGACACCACCACGGTGAGCCAGACGCTTGGCGCCTCCTTTACCAGACCTTTTCCTCCTTTACTACGACCAGTCAATTGTTGCTTGTTAGGTGTGAAGGAGTGGACTAGCCACCACCTCCCTACTGCTGCTATTACTGTTCACCACGCCATCCGAAGCGAAAATGAGCTAATGCCATACAGCAGCGCTCTTTTATATCTTTTCAGGTTAAAGCAAAATGATGTGCAACCAAGTGATATAAAAGCTACAAAGACTCCTCCCATTATGAGAAGTTTGCTATCAAGTAGCGACACTGGCTCTTTTCCTTTTGCGTACACGGCGAATGAGAACGACCCAAATTTGAGTTTAGTACACTCATAATCGCCAAAAGTGCAGGAACTCAGCGATGAGTACATTTGTCTCATGGTTTCCTGTGGAAAACCTATAAAATCTGCCAGGAAATAAGGAAATTGTCGAAAATTTTATTCAGTCTTGGAGTAGTACCAATAGACTGAGTGAATCCAATCTTTACTTTTCTCAAATTCGGGAATTTTTCCCTGTAAAAATCCTGGAAAAACATGAGGCAAATTTACTCATCGTTGAGTTCCTGCACTTTATTTCTTATTTTTGAGATAACTAAACTCAAATTTGGGTCGATCTCATTCGCCGTGATATCACCTTGAAAGATATCGGCGCCGGTGGTTAGCGTGATTATCTCTCACCCCAGCAGGCCTGGGTCCAATCTCAGTCGGCGCCACCGGCATGTTCTAAGGCATGCCGTTGATGTCTCCTGAAGATTGTAGTTGCTGGGCGAACTCCTGGGTGTTACTAACTGCTTTACTCTGGAACTGATTCGGCCTACTCTGGAACTCTATGACTAGCCACTTCGCCAGACGGGAAACTCGCATTTCTCGATCTTCTAGTCATCAGGGAATCGTCGTCATCTTCCTTGCTTGAATACGAAATTTACAGGAAACCAACAAGCACCAAAAGAGTTATCCCCTATACTTCCAACCATTCGTTCCAGCAGAAAATGGCCGCCTTTCACCACATGATTCATCGAATGCAGACTCTTCCACTCAGCGATACAGGAAAGGTTAAGGAATTACAGTACATCTTCGAAACAGCAAGACTCAACGGATACAAGGAGGCCACAATCCAGGCAATCATCGATAAAAAAAGCGAGAATTCTACAAAGGAGATTATTTACAACCGTCACCGCAGCACCTGAACCATTGAAACGAGTGTCCGTTCCATTTGATCAAGATATTACTTGTAAGCTAAGACCACAGTTAAAACAATTCGGATTAGATTTAGTTTTCACCAGTAGACATAACCAGTTGAAATCATTGTTAGGATCCACTAAAGACCCAGTTAATGTTTTAGGTAAAACAGGTGTATATAA